CAAAGAGGCTTTCGCAGCCCTACCATTAAAGTTCTACATATTGTGAAAGGAAATGTATAGATTATCTGAAGATGCTGTCAGATAAATTAAGGCTATTGTTGGATGTTTACACATCCATGTCAGAGACCAATCTGCTTCACTTGGACTATCTGCTACAAATAGCAATGGAAATGCAGGATAGTAAATTATCTAAAATTACAATTTATAAGAAAATACTGAATTAATTTAAATGTTTAAAACTTGAGAAAGATACATTGATCTCTGAATGCATTGAAAGAAATCAAGATCCATACTCCCACACATATTTTATTATATCCTTGCAGTTCAGATTAATAATGGAATAAGAAATTTTCATAGTAAAACATTTATTAAGATATAACTTAGTTAAATAAATGTAAAGACTTAGGATTTTAAAAAATAATTAAAGAAATACCAGACCACTCTAATGCACATGAATAGTAAAGTTAATGAAGAAAAAGTCAAGCCTCTTAATTTTCCAGGCAAAGAGCTACAGTTTGACATTTATTTGAAAGCGGTCTCATCCCAAGAAGATCACAGTCTGTTACATCCTATGGTTTTAAAAAAAGCTACGACCCTCAAATTTATCCCAGTTCAGATAAGATCATCTCCTTTCACACCATCAATTTTAAAATAGAACAGTGCAAAGGAATCAGTAAGGAGTCTACTTAATAATTAATATGGGCAACCAAAATTCAAGCACTGGCCATTGTGGAGCTGTCTTAAGATATGCAATAAATGGTGATTATAATCAATCTTAGTAATTAGATTTCTGCAGCATAACCATATATTGAGTTGTATAAAAAAACATATTTGGTGTGTATTGTTTTAGATAATTTTCATGACATATCTATGCCAAGCACAACAGAAGACATAGCTTCTGCTATTTGTTTTCATTAGTGCTACAAGATAACATGCAATTTATTTCAGTCTTTCATGCAAAATAACTACATGTGCTACTAAAATATGATGATTATATATATTTCATTTTTCTTAAATACTTAAAAGTTGGTATCTCTGATAATTCAACATAAAATAAATTTTAAAGAACAAAATTGAGAATTTTATTCATATGTTCACTTTAGAAAAGTTGTTCATGAGAAGATAGGTGACACAGAGGGTTAAGTGCAAAAGCTCTTTGGCACTGAGTTTAAGTCAGGACTGAAAATGAGATTTACTGTTCTCATACACCTAATCCAAAGGAAGTTGGTGAGCTTCAGAAGAAAACATCAATTTGTCACAACTGATAGCCTGTTCTACAGATATATCTTAGTGAAATAAAAGAAGGTTATTCCCGGGAAAAATTGTCAGTTACATGATGAAGCTCCTATACAAAAAAAAACACCTCTCAAATGCCAGTAGGGCCTGTCTAATGAGTTACAAAGGGAAGTAAAAAATGTTGTAAGACACCTAGGATCAACTGAACAGGGCTAACACTTTTTACATATTCCTTTTTAAATGTGACAAGAATTAAAATGTTTCTGTCCTTTCTATATTTAGATCCTGTCATTATAAAAAAGCAAAGCTTATTAACATGGATATTAAATTTTTTAGTTCAAGATATAACTCTTGATTATTTTTGAAAAGCAAATTATTTGATAAGAAAATGCAAGAATTTGAATGACCATTTTTTTTACATTTAACTATATTTTTAAATTAGCACAACTGGTTCCTAATAAGTTAAAATAATAATCAAAGAATAGAAAAATGCAGTTAAACAATGCTAGTGCATACTATAGGGAGAGAGGGAGTAGCACATATACTTTTCCTCAATTTATTATCAGACCACAAAACTGTGAGATTAAACAGAAAACTACTAAAAAGTGTTGAATAATTTGGATATTTATTGAAGCTAGTTTAATTTCAGGTATTTATCTGGGACTTTTTAAATGTGCCACCAGCTTCACCAATTGGAATATAATGTTGATTTTCTGCCAGTGCCAGCTGGCAGGGTGTTATACAGAATTTTTTTTGTCCTCTGCTAAGCCAGTAGCTGATATCTCATTTCAGAATTTTTTAGGTCTTTTATATTTCATTTCATAAGCTACAACATAGTATTTACAGGAAGAAAGGAGTGATCTGTTGTGCAATTGTCTTGCTTCTCAATAACTACATTGAGCTGGCTGATATTTTACACATACCATCATGCATAAACACAAACATCAAGCTGAAATAAAATCTCAAGACAGTAAACATCTATCAAAGCTACAAGAAAGTGAAAATGGGGCCCTATGACAGGACTTATTAGGGATGCTGACAATGGGCAGGGGTAGTAATCCCTTTAATAAAATATACACATACACATTGTATGACACATTCATTGTTTATGACGACTTAAACTAGTTCATGGCAGCAGAGAATCAAGCTTTCCAACTTTAAGAGAAATTTTCTGTATTCTTTCTTTAGCCTTCATAGAAATATACAACTCTGCATGAGATATGATGTGAAATTTCGCAGGTAATGGCTTGTTTTGGGGATAAGTGGTTGATGGGAGTTGTAGATCAGGCCTGAAATGGAAGTAAACTTCAACCTTAACTGTACAATAGCTATAACCATTCCATAATAAGAAAAAAGATTAAGTCTAGGTATATTGTTTTGTCACTCTGGCACCCTGGAGTTGGTAAGAACCACTTGCACAATCCAATCAGGACAAAGCATGCTAAGAAAATTGAACAAATATAGGTTTCTAACCTTTTTAGGGGAAAGATTTGTCAGATGCCTCTTTTTCCAGTTTTGTTCTGGAAAAAGCGTTTCAAACAATAGGGGTGCAAAAGCATATACAGTGCTGCAAAAGTGTCTATCAACCTCCACAGACAAGACAGCCATTTATTTACACAGAGGTCACTGTACAAAGTGGAAGAAATACTGAATATTGAATTACACTGCATATTCACCAAATGGATTATGATACATCTGAATCTTAGTCATACTTCAGCAATGATTAGAAATTATTTTGCTGGATATTTGATATTTTGAAAGAATTCATCTTGAATTTGCTTCTGTGTAATAAAAATAAAGTCAACAGAAATAAACATCTAGAGACATGCAGTATTTTATGCATAATTTTACACTGTATAATTATGCACTCTGCATAATTAGTGCTTCTGAGCAATTATTTTTCAGCAGACCAAAGCATTAATTCCATTCTACTACCAAGCACATTATTTTTTAAAGTTTGCTTCAGTGGGATGACAAGATACCACATTGCCAGCTATCGCTACTACACCTCCAGAAGAATGAGAGAAACAATTAAGAGCTCTGAGAACTGCTCACAAATCTCAGAATATGCTGAGCTGGAAGGGACCCACAAGGATCATCCAGTTCAAATCCCTGGCCCTGCACAGGACTTGTTCAAATGCTTTTTGAACTCTGTCAGGCTTGGCACCGTTCCAGTGCCAATTCCTCTGGGTGAAGAATTGCTTCCTAATATCCAACCTAAACTGCCCCTGACACAGATTCACAATGTGTAGGAAAGAATTATTAATATGCAAGAATTACCATTTTACTGATAAAAAACTCCTCTTACTAAGGTTCTTCAAAGTATTCTCGTCATATAAATTTTGCATTTGCATAGCACAAGTCATCATGCTTTAGATCTCTTCCTCTTAAGTCATGCCTAACATCCTCTCAAAGTAATTTCAAGATGCTGAAAAAAGACTTATATAGACTTACAACAACAGTAAAAATATTTTTAGGAACAGCTTCTGCTATAATTATTTTTACATGGCATAAAATGAATAACTAACTCAGAAATGTGATCGATGGTTTATATTAATCAGTAAAATCTAGGCTGCTATCAGTTCACAGAGTTTACAAAACATTTGGATTCTGTAGCATTTCAAACCAAGTGTAAGAAGCATGGCCATTTTCTTTTGGTTGCAGAAAGAAATCTGAATACAAATTACTGGATTTCTCATGTCTCCAACTGTTAAGTTACATTCTTTTCATTTCTGACTAGTTTTTTGTGCCATAAGATAGGAGACCAGATAGTTCATTATCCTCTTTAACATATTTTGCATGTCATAAGCACATTTTAAAAGCAGCCAGAAGTAAGGCTGCTTTTAAATTTGGCAAAGGCAAAACTGTTTCTGACTATAAATAAATGAGTCTACACAAAACTTATTTTCTTCATTTTTACAAAATACTAATGTTCCCAGAAATTATTTCAAAACATTTTACTCAGTTGTGATTTAATAAAATTAATCTTATTTAGTAGTTTATAAACAACAACCCCAGAAAATTCATAAAGATCTTATTTTTGTAGTTCAAATGGGTTCAATAAAATGAACAATTAAAAGATGGAATAACAGAATGCAATTGTGAATGAAGATAAATATGTTTTGCTTTGGTGTTAGGAGTTACTATACTGACCTCAACAAGTATAAAGGTGTCCTGGGTACTTTGAAAGACAACTGGAACATTTTTGTAAGCACCATATAATTTATTTACAGAAATGCAGGCTGGCTGACCTTGAGATGTCATGTCTGGACACACAGTCCTCCTGTTGTAAGACCAAGTCAATGATTAGAGGGTGGAATTGCAACTTTTATTGCACAAGTCAGAAAGTATTTGTAGAAAAATAGGTATACTTAGCTTAATCTTGTTTTAGAAAATGTCTTTTGAATATACATCCACAACTGGATCAGAAAAAGCTGTATCACATACTAAATTCCTTATGAATTGTAACACAGGCACAGAAGATTAATCACCTACAAATGCAGACAGCTTGCAGGAAAATGCCTGTTTAAATCTTCCAGTGAGGCTGGTAGCCATGTCAGCAATAGGACTTTGGAACCATTTAATCAACTTCGAAAAAATGGTCGACTTAGAAAATCCCTACATTCAAACTCGTGCCCGTTATTTCCTTAGTGAGCAAATAATCAGTAAGTAAAAATTCCATGTTCCAGTCTCAGCTTCCATTGCATATTATGCAGCAATAGCTGTATGTGTAAACTTTATTAGTGGACTGGATCTCACAGTACCTTGCTTCTACTCAGGTGGGCTTCATTGCTGGGCTACTCGCTGAATCCTTGTCCCTGGAAAAGAAGACTTAGATCATGTAAAATACCCAAAAGACTGGAGAGAGAAAAAGGTCAGTAATGGATAGCAGATGTAATCAAGACACAACCAACTAATCCAGTTAAAGGAGAAAAACAGCCAAGTCAGGAGAAAAATTACTTAAAAAAATGGCCAGCTAACTCATTCTCTGGAGATGCCGGTTGTCAGTTTCACCACTGACTAAAGGTAGGCTGGGATTACTAGCTTAGACTAGTTTTAAAAATCAAAAGCTGGACTCTCCCAAGCCCAGGGCTGCAGAGCAGCAAGATGCTTGCTCAGCAAGGCAGCAGCCACTCCACTATGGAGGAGGATGGGGCAGAACTTTTGCATATTCCTTAGTGGAGGATTCACTTTATCCTTTGAAAGTTCACAAGACAATATTATTTTATTTCCTTTTTCCTTCTAGGAAATAAAACACTAGTTGTACAAGCCTGTTTAATTTGGTATATGGGAAAGTATTTGGCACCTAAGAGAGTTTTCTCACGTCAGCATAGAGAGATACAGTGCCCTGCATTGTAGAGAGGAAGGCAGGGCAAAGCTTTAATAATCCCTTGAATCTGGTCTTTGCTATGGCATATCTGAACCTAGCAGAGCCATCATATAAATAAATGCAGTAATAGTGTTAAGTTTATCAATTATGCTGTACATTTCATTTTGCGTAGTTTCCTAAAACTTCTGGGATTATCAAAGAACAGCAAATCATAACAGAATAGTGATGTAAATTGGTCAAACACAACCTAGCCCATATTTTTCTTCAGAGAAGCTGGATGGTGCAATACTTCTAGCTATGACATGCCTACCATATCATGGTAGTGAGGTTGTTTCTGAAGGCACCAAAATTTTCTGTTATAAACAGCAAAAAGCAGAGCTCTCTCCCATTAATCTCCAAATTATCTCTACTATTATAGACAGAAGGAATTTATTAAGGATTTACCATTAAGACTACTCTGTTTCACCAAAGTCCCTGCAGACAAGAGAACTTAAATGTCATGATGTCAATAAGCACTATAATTATTTGAGGTTCAGAAACATCATGAAGGTCAACAAAATAAGAAATAATATCTTAAAATCTTTGTAGCTTTGGTGGCAAAAATACTTACATGTTTGTTTTTTTTTTTAAAGATAGCAAAATGCACTAGAGTCATCTATCTACCTATTGCTCCTTGGAAAATCAAACAAAAATTAAATTATTTCTAAAATTCTTTATTTATTCAAGCTGTTGAACAGAATATTATAGAAACTTCAAGCATTTCAATAAGAAAACAGCACTACCCTAGGGACAGCATAAATTCAGAGAGGAGAATGAATTTCCATTGCTAAAAGTTAAGTGTTGATTTGAGTTTAGACTTAAAATAACAAGCAACCTGCCTTTTAATAAATTTTAATTTTTTTACATATAATTATCGATGGTGATCTTACTGAAATACTTTATTTTTTTGCTGTGATTTTCACATTTTATCATTTCATCTCCAATATATTTTTTTATCTTATTTCCAGAGAGATCCAGCATATAAATATCCTTGTATAACCTCTTTCCAATTCATCATCCACTGTTTGCACTCTAGTAACACTACCCTCATAAAATCCCTAATGATTTACTCAAAGCCTATGCTTAAAACCCATTGAATCCCCATCCTTCTTGACTTATCCAACAACTTCAAAGCATATTCTTCTTTTTAAACACTTAATTAAAAAATTTGACTGAGAAAAAAGTTGGCACTTGCATCAGAGAGATGAAGACCAAAAGTTGGCCCTTTTATTTTTAATCTTTTTCTCTGTGGCTTGACAGAGGCTTGACACTGCATAGCTCAAGTGGATCTACTTACTTGGGATGCACTTACATCTTTGTAAGAAAGAGAAATCAAAGAATTGTTACACTATGACACGAAATAACTCACACACGGATGCTAGATGTAAAAGGGGGAAGAAAAAGAACTAAAAAAGATATTTTATTTTGTGACTATACTAGATATAGAATAGCAAAAGTAACAGTGGATTGGGGAGTGTAATTGCCACCTCCCCGACTACACTGGTTAAACTAACAGTTTATTAATTCTCTCCACCCACAAAGAAGAATGTAAAACTCTCAAAAGAACAGGGCAACAAAGAATGATTAAAATAGTGAAAGTTCTGAACTAAATAATAAGAAACAGTTTTGACCAAAGTACATACACAGTATTTCCTTGATATTCCTTTCAAAAACAGAGGGAAAGGGCAAAAATCTAAAAACCTACAGAGAAGTTCTCTCCTAAAAGACTTGGGTCTCAGGGGGGACATGACCAAAGTCAAAACCACTGCAGTGACAGCATTTCAACACTGTTTGCAAAGGGCCTAAAAACCGGGAGCCCTGCCATGCCCTCCACTGAAGGCTTCTCCCCTTCACAGCCCCAAGTCTGAACAGAATGGAGTTAGTCATCTCCTTAGGCTGAAAGGACAAGCACAAGTAAACATCTAGGCTTCTCACATGCCTGCTTACTGTTACTTCATTCAAGTTGGGCCTTTTCTTTGGATGCTTAAAGAAATTAATATGCATTATGCCTTTTTAAACTGAGTTTCTCTACACAAATAGAACTCGAGGGCACATCAAACCTGTGTTGAAAGCACCACCTATTTTCTGTTTTGTGGATTGAGGGAGCAAGGAAAAAGCAGGACTTTAGAAATTAAACTAGGATATATAGTACCACTGTGGGGACACAGTCAAAGAATGTATCTCTGTATTTCATGCATATCCATTTTTCTTTTGTCAGTCTTCCATTATTACTAAAGACTGTGAAAAATAAAAGAGGATATTTAAAATCTTAAGTGAAAAGCCAGAAATAGGACAGAAATTGCTCAGTATTATTTTCCTCTTCAGAACAAAGACATGAAATTCATAAATTATCACACAACTCAGGAAGGCTCTGTGGTTTACAGAAAGAGCCACTGACTGTTGCTGGTTGACCAATATTCCTATAGAACAAAGCATCACTGTGTTCATAGCAGGCAGGACAGGAACAGCTGTGTCCATCCATGCCATCTAAATCAGGTTCCTGTATTCCTTAACAGAGTTTTGTGACCAAAATCAATGGTTGGCTATTTGTAGTCCTTGGCACCAAGGGATGAAGCCTGATGACTGTCAGCATCAGTGCTTTACAATCACCTCATAAACTGCCCAACTTTGCTCACTCTCTATACATGGAGCCTGACATGTCAAAAGCACAGTAACAGAAATGCATTAGTTTTTAACCTCATTCAACCCAATCTCCTTCGTACAGTCAGGTACAAAGGCTATATCTGCAGGACACAGCAGAGGGCTATGGAGACTGGTTACTCTATTTGCAAAGCTGCTGCTGTAGTCATAGAAGTGTGAAGAGTCAGTCACCATTTCACAGTTAGAAATTTCTTTGTATTTCCTTATAAGTCAATGACTGAAATTGATAAATTTCTATTGACACTGATGAGAATATGTCAGTCAACTTCTGCTAAGGAATGTTATTGGCGAGTCTCTGTTCTCTAAAAGCCAGGCTGATTTATTTTCATGCTGTGGCACCTCCATACACACTCTGCAAGGAATGATGTTTTACACAAAATCACCTCTCCCTTGAGCCATCAGAATCCTGGTCATGCAATACAGCATCTGTTTCCTTTTGAAGTGCAACCAAAACCACTGAAAATCCAGAGTCCAGCCTGGACCATTACTGGAAGGAAATTTTCCACAGACACACATAGAGGGAGTAGGAGGCAGTAGGGTTTAATGCTGTGCAGGTTTAGCTCCAGACAGTTCTAATGTCTTCCTGCATCCAAGGAAGCTGTCTTTACTAACCAAACCCATGTCTGTTCGGATGTGAGCAGTTCCACATAGAGATGCTCAGATCAGTGTGGATAAAAGCTAGCCTAGTTACTAGAAGGGACATAACGCCCTTGGCATGAGTAGTTATACCCAATTTCTCAGTAAAGCTGGCTGGATGGGCAGTGAAATGCACTCACTGTGTGTCTGCTGGCACCTCTGGGGCAATGATCACCTTTACAGACATCTCTTTACAACTTGCTAGCTTGGAGAATTAGTATTTTTTTCTCTGAACAGCACTAACACTTTTTTCTCATTTTCAGACTCCTGCTAGAGTTTCAGAAGAATCTTCATACATGAGGGCTGAAAAACACCACTATTTATCCTATGTCCAGAAAATGAATCAACAGATCCTCAATACAAATGCTTGGATCTCCCCCTATTAAATCCTTCAAGATGACCTTGCAAGGTCCTCTCCAGTTGTTTTCAGTCATAAACTCTTAGCTGGAAGATACAATCCCGTGCTGTGATTCCTTCAAAAAGAAACCTATCTGTTTGTGTCAGCATCAATGCTTCCTTCAAAAAATAGACAAACCTTCACCTTCTTTATTTTCTGACAGGAAGTAGAAGCTCCATGAAAAAAATTCTCCATAGACCAGAAAAAGAAAGAAATGCTCCTTTTGAAAAGTGTCAAAAATTGATATTTAATTTTTTTAATCAAAGATCAATCAGGACACCTATACTACCAACAAAAGTGGTATGATTTCAATACTAAAAACAAAAATCAACCAACACTGTTTATAAAATTAAAAAAGCAGAATAATGACAAGATAGAAGAGTAAATCTCAATGTGCTTCTGAAAGAAGCAGGCCAGTTCATGGAAAGAGAGAAAAAAGAAATGTATTTTTTCCTGAGTATTTAATGCAATAAACACAACAAAAAACATTAATAACTTCCTAGTTATTTCCTCTTACTTATGATGAAAGACTCTTAGCTCCTACGGCAGAACTCCACAGAAAAATTGTCATGAGAGTGGTTTATTTTAAATAGAGCATTACCACACTATGATGCAGAATTATTTATTTGGGGCTTTTACAAATCTTATATATCTCTTTTTACAAAATCAGTTATATACAGCAAATAACCTTACAAACTCTCAGGGCTAGGTTGTTTTTTTTAATGAGCTAGAATTTAAATATGCAGAAACATACA